AGCCCAAAGCTCCCGGGCAGAGCTGAGGTGCCCCCAGCAGTGCCAGGGAAAGCAGCAGCTGAAGAGCCCTCTCTGCTCCAGAGGGAAGGGGAAAATCCTGCCCAGCACATCCACTGGGAATAGGAGAGAGGTGCCACTGGAGGAGGGATGTGAGAGCTGAACTCTGAAATCTCTCGGGAAGGTCACGGCATTCCCATTCCAGAAAACTCTGGGGAGTGGGTCAGCTCGGTCCCGTCAGAGCGGGGAAGGGAATGGATGATCCCCTCAGGTCACTCCAGCCCTATTTTCCACGATTACAGAGGTTTCCAATACTTGGAATTCTCTGCAATCAAAGCTGCCCTTGAGATGTTTTGTTTCGGTGTCTCAGAGCGGAGCAGAAGGACCCTTCCAGGGACACAGCTGAGCTCTTCCCAACACATTCCCAGATTCCTGAAGCACCAGCTCCCCCAGCCAGGTGTGGTGTGGAGGAGAGCAGGGCTGGCTCAGAGGGGGGATGGAGCAGCCCCAGCTCTCCTGGGTAACTGGCAGGGAGACAAATCCCAGAGCTGGGGGACACCAAAGTGTCCCTGTCCCACCTGGATCCAGCTGAAGCTCGGGAATGACGTGGGAAGGCAGCAGAGCACAGACAGTGCCAGGAGGGTTGTGCTGCTGTGGCTGGGATGGGCTGAGGCTGGAGGAGAGCAGGGGTTGGATCTGGGAGAACCCCTGGTTATCCCGGGGGAGGCAGCGGGGACACGGACACGTGGCCCTTTCTGAGGGCAGCACTTGTCAGCCCTGCACGTCCCAGGGCTGGAGGGGCACAGGGAGGTTCAGCACTGAGACATCCAGCCCTGGAAATCACACACACACCTGCCTTCGGAACCAAATTCCGCCTGTCTGGGGTTTTTTTGTCTGAAGTCAAAACCTCTGGAGCTCCTGCTCGGGGTGGAGCTGCTGCCCCAGCACCAGCAGCTGCCCTGGCACAGCCACAGCTGCAGAGCCCAGGTCAGCATTTAGTGCTGCTGGATATTTCTTTCACCCTGTTGACTTTATACCCGGCAGAGGCACTTCATGAGAGGCAAACAAACAGGCTGCACTTCGGAGAAACCAGATACGGGGGTTGGCTGGGAGGGAAGGACCCAGAATACATATAATAAAGATATCAGGATAATCCATTTCATTGATTAGCAATTGTGCCAGGAGTGCAAATTGGTCACTTGTAGCTGTTCCAGGGCACCATTTATTGCAGGCACGACGTTCCTGCCTGGATGAAAAGCTTTTGCAGCCCCTGGCTCGTGTCTGGTGGCTGAAGGACTAAGCCACGGGTTAAGTAGTTGCTGTGAAAGTAGTAATTACTCCCTAATAGCTCTGGACTCTTAATCTACACTAATAACATCCTTCTGAGCCTTTATCTGGGTGCAATATTGGTGCAGGAGTTCTGCTGGAGAGGCTGGGAGCTGTGTAACTGTGGAGCAGGGGGAGCCGGGCTCTGCCAGCGCCGGGAGAGCCGCGTGGGGACCATTCCCAGCTCTCCCGGGGCAGGAATACAGTGCTTGAAACCAGTCTCTGTCTGATATTCTGTCCCAAAAGAGATAAACCCTGACTTTTTAGAAGGAAAGTGGAAAGTGGGTAGAGTTTCTGTGGAGACACGAACCTCATCCCATTGGATTTCGGGACAAGATCCACCGGGGTTGTGTCTCCACAAAACCCTCTCCCACACCAAAGCCACCAACGCTTGTTTTGCCACCATTAGTGCAGTTCCACTGAGGAATTGCTTCTTGCTCAGCCCTGTCAAGCAGAAATCCTTCTTTCCCACCCAAATCCCTGATGCAGCTGAGCCAGCACAAACCTGGGAGGATCCACACATCCCTCATCCCTCCTCCTCCTCCGGGCGCGCGGGGTGAACGCTCCGAGCAGCTCCGGGAAAACAAGGCTGGCAGACCCGAGGGGAAGGTTGTAACTTGGATAACCTCCTCCAAAAGTTTAGGCTGCTCCAGGAGCAGGGCTGGGGCTGGGGATGTGCTCTGGGAGCCAGCACAGGCAGCCACGGGCACCGCTCGCTGCGGGAGCGACGGGAGCAGAGCCGGGATTGGGGGTCAGGCTGGAGCAAACCCGAGGAATCCTGCCCTGCTCCTTCAGCAGCAGGATGGGATGGGATGGGATCCCACAGCAGCAGGGACACACCTGGTGGCAATCCCAAGCCAGGACTCACGTGCTAAAATGGGTCCAGCCCTCCCAGAGAGCTCCAGGGGGAGCGAGGCAGGTCTGACCCCAGGCTGTCTCCCCAGCTCTGACCCCGGGATAACGTTTTCCCGAGCAGGGAATCCCAGCAGAGCTGCTGGAAGTGGATTTCCCCCCGTGCTCCGCTGGCACAACCCACATCTGCAGAGCAGCTGCTGCCCTGGATCCAGCTGGGCAGGGGCAGGGGGAGGTGGTGGCCCTGCTGCCCCGTGTCCCCCCCAGCTGCGGATCCCCCGGGAAGCTCCATCGCTCACTCCGGGCAGGAAAACCCCCCCGGGGGCTCAGGTCCAGCTGCTCCCCCTCACCCACCACCCTCCACCCCGTCACCCAGGGCTGCCTCACCAGTTCCTACTGCTTTCCTCCCTGCCGCTCTCCATCCCAAGTGTTCCCCTCTTGGAGCTCACATTTTGGGGAGCAGATGTTGGATTTGGGGAGTTTCAGACCCCTGGGCTTGACGGTGACAAAAATAACAATGGTGGGACCCAATGATTTTAGCAAAGTCTTCCCTCCTGTAAGAAAAAGAAGCAGCAGGTTGGATTTCTCTGTGGCAAAAGATGGAAATTAAGGGAGGTTTTACCATGGAAGGAGTTGCTACGTGGAATTAAAAGCAGTGCATTATGCTCCCAGTGCTGATTTTGTGATATAACTGGGTTGTGATACATGATGGTTTAATTGCCATTAATGTAAACATATTTAAAAAGGTTATTTCCCTGCTCTGGGGGTCAATGGACCCAATGAAGCAGCTCTAAGTGGGTCGGAATTGCTCTGATTAGGGGCTGGATTTCCTGTTTGCCCCCTGAAGTGGGTTTGGTCCTGCACAGCTGAGGGGATATAAACACCCCAAAGGCTCTCCTCGGCACCTGGAATCCTCTGGGAGCTCCACGGAGGGAGGAAGGTAAGGAATTCCGTGTCTGCCTCTCTTTGGGTGCGTCGGGCTGCAAAGGGAAACGGTTCTTTCGGGGGAGAAAATGGCAAATAACAGGTTGGGGGTTGTGCCTGCGCAGGGAAACCGGGAGAAAGAATCGCTTTGGAGTCGCTCTGGGGACCCCCCAGCTCTGGCTAAATCAGGGATGACGCTTTTCCCACAGCAGGTGGTTTCACACAGGGGACTGGGAGACCTGGGGGTTGTAAAGATCCCCCTCTTTTTGGGGAGGAACGAAATCCTGGGGTCAAAGCAGGGCAGGGATCCCGGGGAACTGGCAGCAGGCAGGGCAGGCAGAGCTCGGCTGCTCCAGGGGGGTGTCCACAGATTAACCCCAAACGGTTTTCCAACAGTCTATGGAAATGTTTGGGTGAATCCTGCAGGGGAGGAGTTCTGCCCTTCCCTAAAATCAGGGCTACCACACGTTCCCTCTCCTGGTTCCATAAACAACTGCCCTGTTCTGGCACAACTTCGATATTTTCAGGTCCATCGTTACACCCTCAGTTGTATCACCGAGATGTGAAATGAAAAGAAAAATTAGAGGGGAAACGTCAGTTATTTAATCATGAATTTTTTTCCCCCTGCTCTTATAAAAATACCCCTCAGCTTTTTGTGTAACCAAATTTACCTCTGCTCTGGGTCAGTGTTTGTTACTCAATAACTACTTGTCTTCTGTTTCTTTAGCTCTAAGAAATCAGGGGGTTTGCCGGTGTTTAGAGTGTTACACCTTGCTTTTGAGAGGAACTCGATGTATCTAAGATAATGTAACTCCTTTAGTGTTTTTCTCACTTAATAGGAAGGGCTGAAAACATTTGTAAAAATGTCCCGATTTTTCCAGAGATAAAAAAAAAAAAAAACAAAAACACGAACGCCGAAATTACAACAACAACATCCAAACTTGCAAATTCTTGTTCTCTCCAAAACCGTAATTGGGCTGTTGGAAGAGAACAAACAACTACCCAGAGGAATAAAGTTCTGCCGTGTGTGAATGAATGGCTGAGGGGTGGGAGACGGGAGTTCTGCTCCGGACCTTTCCCGGTGTCGTTATCCCCGTTAACAGCAGCTCCTCTTCTCCATAAATAAATATAACAAAGGTGAGGTGAGGGACAACCAAAACATCCCCAAGCCAGGACCAAACCCGTTTTTGTGTGGAACTGGCAGGGCTGGAATAGCAATTAAACGAGCTCAGATGTCCAAGGGCTGTGGGACTGTGGACACGAGGACAAGGAACAGCTTGAAACCAATAAATCTTGGAATCTCCTCCTGTCACTGCCCGTGGGGTGTTTTTCAGGACTGATGCTCAGTCCCTACACGAGGCATTATCCATCCTAACAGAACCCCCCCCCGGGGATTAGATCAGGCTCCCTGGAAGGGCGGGCTGGGACGAGCAGGGTGTCCTTGCTGCCGAATTCCCTGATCCAGGGACGTTCCCATTCCCGGGCTCGAGGCTGAGCCGCCCCCGAGAGCACAGTGAGGTACCCACGGGGTCAGCTTGGAAACATGGGGCAGGACAAAGCCCTTCCCCCGGGAATGTGCGACCCACCGGGAATTTGATGGGCACAATAAAATTTAGGGGAGCGACGCTCAAAGGCACCGCGGTGGGAAGGAGAGGCGGCAGGGAGAGAGGGATTGGGCTGGGAAGGGCAGGAGAGGGGTTGGGAGGCTGGAGGAGGCTGGAGGAGGCTGGAGGAGGCTGGAGGAGGCTGGAGGAGGCTGCTGGAAGCTCGAGGGCTGAGGGGACACGTTTACAAGCACAGGCACGTGCCCAGCCACCCCTCATCCCTGTCCCCCGTGTGTGTTCCAGGGGCTGGACACCGGGATCTCCCTCTGCTCTGGGACAGAGAAACCCGCCAGGAAAATGTCCTTCAAGTCCTTCAAGGTTCTCTCTCTGCTCGTCGCCTCCCTGGGCTTTGTTTTGATGGAAGAGAACGTCTCGGGGTGAGTAACACTCTCCAAGGGTTTTGGAAAGCTCCTGGTGTGTTTTGAGCCTTTTCCAGCTCCTCTGGAGGCAAATGGACTCTTTCCATTGGCATCTTGGTGAGTAGGTGAGAACACGAGTCCTGGATCTGGGATCAGAGACATCCCGGGTACAGAGATGAGCAAGAGATAAGGGGGAGATCAAACTAAAGCCCTGAGCCTTTGAGCCAGAGCCAGGAACTCCCATGTTTTCCCTACAAACTTCATGGCTGTGGGTTGGGAGGAACAAGCTGGAAGTCAACCAGGGAGAGAAAGGTTGTCTGAGAACAAGAACAAGATGTAATCACCTCCCATGAGTGGGGCCAGAGGGCACCCAGTTCTTGGAAGCCTCTGAAGTCGTGACCAGGTACATAAAGCAGGTAGACAACAAAGACTTTCCCTCCCTTTCCCTGACTCCTGATAGAAAATTTCCAACTATCACCCAAAAAGATCTAAAAAACCTCCTTGTTAGACCTAAAAATCTCCTTTTTAGAGCAGCAGGAATTGCTGCAATCCCAGAGAACGGCTCTAAAACGGCTCAGCCCTGAAATCCTTTGCTAACTCGCTGGCCAGCAGCTCTGTCCGTGCTGGTCTCGAGGTCATCCCTGTCTCCTGCCATTCCCTCGGAGCCCCTCGAGGGCACGGGGGAACTTTCCCGCTGGAGGAGGGATCCCGAGCCCAGCCGGTGCCTCAGCTCAGAGGGGAGCGAATCGGGAAATCCACCCTGATTCCAGAGCAGCAGCAAACGCCCAGAGCTCGTGTTCTCCTGAGCTGTCAAATCCCAGCTGGAATTGGATGAAAAATGGATGAGGGGCGTCCCAGCCCCTCCCCGGGGTGGGAACGGCCACCTGGACCAGGGGAGAGGGTAAAAGTGCCCCCCAAACCCTCGGGGATTGTGGGGAGTGTGTGACCCAACCCCGAGCCTGCCCCGGGAGCACCTTTGCTCAGAGCAGGACTCCCCGTGTGCCCAGAGCAGGACTCCCTGTGTGCCCAGAGCAGGACTGTGCCCCCAGAGCAGGACCCTGTGTGCCCAGAGCAGGACTCACTGTGCCCAGAGCAGGACTCGGACTCCCTGTGTGCCCAGCGCCGGACTCCCGGTGCCCCAGAGCAGGACTCACTGTGTGCCCAGAGCAGGACTCACTGTGCCCCCAGAGCAGGACTCACTCCCTGTGTGCCCAGAGCAGGACTCACTCCCTGTGTGCCCAGAGCAGGACTCCCTGTGTGCCCAGAGCAGGACTCACTGTGCCCCCAGAGCAGGACTCCCTGTGCCCCCAGAGCAGAACTCACTCACTGTGTGCCCAGAGCAGGACTCACTCCCTGTGTGCCCAGAGCAGGACTCCCTGTGTGCCCAGAGCAGGACTCACTCCCTGTGCCCAGAGCAGGACTCACTCCCTGTGCCCAGAGCAGGACTCAGAGTGTCTGCCCCCGGGCTCTCCTCCCAGTGCTAGCCTGAGGGTTCCCGCTGCCCGCCCGCTGCAGAGACGCTACTCCGAGGCCACCCTGGCGAGCGACTACAGCCGCACCATGGACAACATGCTCAAGAAGAACTTCGTGGAGTGGCTGCTGGCCAGGAGGGAGAAGAAAAGCGAGTAAGTGTTCAGACTTCCAGTGCTCCCGCATCCCAAATTCCGGCTGGAGAGCGCAGGGCCGAGGATGCTTTCCTTGGATTCTCCGGGCGGTTGGTTTTCTTTTTGTCCCTCCGAAGCGGCAGGAACGTTTCTGATCTGTCGGTGTCTCCCTCCCTGTCCCAACCCGCCTGGCAGATGGGGTGGGAGGGAGCTGGGATTTGTGGAAAAGCGACATTTTGGCACCCTCTTGTGGCATTTCGGGCTGATTTGTTCCCGTTCGGACTCCGCAGCAACATCGTGGAGCAGTACAAGAGGGAAGCCGAGCCCCAGGTACCAGCTGCGGGCGGGCAAAGGATGGACCTGGGCACCCACGAAGCCAAAGATTTCCTCACCTGGATTCTGAAAGCCAAGGGAAACCAGAGGTGAGGGCGGGGAGCAGAGAGGAAAAGTCGGGATGCAGGGAGGGATGAGGTCTCCGGGTGTTCAGAGGTTTGGGAATGACGGTGACACGCGGGGAAATGGGAGGATTTTGGTCTGGAAAGGAAATTCCATATTTTGCTGCTCCATCTCCTGAGGAAAAGAGCAGAGCAAAAAAGGAAAAAAAAAAAAAAGCCTGATTTTGAAATTTCTCACAAAATACAAAAGGAAAAACGTTATGTGGAGGATTGGGGTTGTCTTGTTCTGCAAATGTCAGCACAGGCTCGTCAGAGGTCAGAGCAGGGATTTTTGGCAGGGCTGGGGCAAAAATCCACCCCTCGAACATCCCAACTCCGAGGGGGTGGAGAAGCAAAAACAAAGGGCTTTGACCTGCTCAAAACAAAGCCCTCTGGAAAGCAAATTTCTCGATTAAAATGGGGTGAAACTGGTACATTTCTCCCAAATGTTTTGATTTGATCCAATCGCCCCAAAGGAGAAAAAAACCCAAACAAACAAAACCAACCCCACTCGTTCACACTCTCAGAGTGTTGATCAAGTTCGTTTAAAAAGAGAAAACAAATTATTTTTGTCCTTCTATTGCTGCATTTAGAGGGAAAAAAAATCTACCAGCTAAACATGAAACCAGGCAGGAGATATTCCAGGAGGAATTTCCCAGCTTATTCCTGATCCGAGCGAACCCATAAAGGGCACGGATTTTATTTGGGTTTTTTTAAGCTGTAATCATCTTAAAATACTTCCAAGATGTAATCACCTTAATGGTTACACGCACACCATCACTATTACGTTATTAACAATGTTTTTAATCCTCCTCCAACGTTCTCAAAGATTTAATCTCAAATCTTCCAGTGGTGACGATCCCGGTGCAGGATTGGGGATGAGCTGCCTGCAAACAGGTACCTCTGGGCGAGGTGAGGGAGCCCAGGTGGAGCTCTGGGTGCTCTGCAGCTCATCCCGTGTTTTCCCAAGCCTCTGGCTCGGGGCTGGTGGGTCTCAGCAGCTCTGGGCTGTGTCAGCAGATCCACAGCCTGGCACTGGGCTGGCTCACACCCCTCCGAGCCCGGCTCGTGCCACAAATGTTCAAAAAGCAAATTAGACCTGAGCCTGGGGGGGAAAAAATCTGCTCTTGGGCAGTTTCTGTGTTTTAAAAATCCACCAATAAATGGCTGAGGGGACACGGAATTTCTTCAGCGTGGAGGGGTTTTATAAAAGCCAACAGGCTGAGGCTGCTGAGTCCTGAAATGGTGGCAAGGAAGGGGGGGGGGAAGCACTTAAAACACACAGCCCACTTTTTCAGGCACAATCCTGGTGTTTTCTGGGGAAAAAAATGGGATTTTTAACTACAGGGAGCCATGGGACAGTCGCCCAGAACAAGAATCTGGGGGTGTTTGTTGTTTTTTTTGCAGCCTTTGCATGAAAACGGTGTCAGAAAAGAGGGTTTGGGGGCGGCGGGGTGGGGGAAAGGAGCAGAGCTGCGGTTCACGGGGGTGTCTGGGGCCAAGCACTTGGAAAATCCGACACCCGGAGCTGCCAGCCGTCCTGAAAATCCCAAATCAAAGGAAGGAGGGCTTTGAGGGATCTGGGGAGGTCGCTCGGTCTGACCCCTGCTCCCAAGCAGGATCAAACTGGTCCTGACAGATGTTTGTCCAACCTGTTCCGGGGCAGGGGGGCAGGAGGGGGAAGGGAAAGCTTTGGTGCTCGAGATTAATCAGCTTGATTAGTTTCATTAAAAAAAAAAGTAATTTTTGGCGCGTTCCTTAATGTGCTGCGTTGTAAACAGAAATGCGAGTGGCGGGGGAAAGTCCCTCTGGAAACAAAGATGTTTTGTTGGGAGCCGGGAGCGCCGCTGCCGCTTTTGGGGGAGGATTTGGGATGCGGGGAGGGGTCACCAGGTGGTTCCTGCCCCGAGCCCGAGCCCGAGAGGCTCTGCTGAGCAGCCAAAACCCTCCAAGACCAAGGGATGTCCCCGTGTCAAGGCGGGGTTAAAGCTTTTTTTGGGGGGGGTTATCCCGGTGGGAGAGATAAGACGATAAAATCCCCTGTGAACTTGCGGGGATTGGGAGAAAGGGATGCCCAGCACAGGATTTGTTCTTTGGTTTTGCCCCTCATCTGTGGTTTTCGTGGATGTTTTTGCAGCTTCACTTCTCTGGAGGACTCGGAAGGGCTGAGGGACGTTTTGAACCGCGAGTTCCTGACGTGGCTGATGGCGACTGAGCCCTGCAGGGCCACGTGAGTGGCTCTTCCACACGTTCCCAACGGATCCCCTGTCCCCAGAAATACCCTAACCCTAACCCAATCCATGAATTCAGGGTTTCTTTGGATAGCCAGAGTGCTCACATGGCACAGTTTGGCTGCCCCAGCCCTGGAAGTGCCCAAGGCCAGGCTGGACGGGGTTTGGAGCAACCTGGGATGGTGGGAGGTGGAGGAGCTTTAAGATCCCTCCCAGCCCAAACCATCCTGGGATTCTGTGATTTGATGGAGGTTTTACAGCTCTGGCCAGAATTTTGTTCTGCAAAAGCATCTTCAGGCAACTCCCACCACAAAACTGGGGGAAGGCAAATTTCCAGCCGTTCCTGCCCAGGGAAAGAGGGATAGAAAAGCCTCTTCCCTGCTTTTTAATGGAAAAAGGGGAGGTGTTCGTCAGGCAACTCATGGGAAATATTTTTCCCGTGCATTTCACGTCCCTGGGAAGGGAATTCTGAGAGAAACACAAGGAATTGGGGTGCAGAAGGTGCAGGGACAAGGAGGCTCGAGGGACTGGGGAGGGATAAGATGGGAGAGAAAAAGGCACCATCCCCGAAAACAGGGTGAGGGAAGAGCTGTTTGTGCCGATGGTGAAAGGTGGCACAGGGACAAAAAGGGCTGAACTGGCCCTGGATAAGGTAGGTTGGGAATAAGGGGCAGCTCTGGGCTATGGACAATCCCAGCCAGCGGGAGCTGAGGGGCAGCAGCTCCCAGGGCAAACAAGGCACTGCTGAGTCCTGCAGGAAAACAAACACTTATTTACATCTCTCTCCCCTGCCCAGTCCCCGATTTCCCCCCAAATTTACTGTTAGGTACTAATCTGGACACCCATCTTGCTGTCAGAATGGATCTGCAGAGGGGGCTGCCTGGTTCAGGAGGGAGTCAGTGATGCCTCGTTTCCTGCAGGAAGCAAAAGAAATCAGGTGCAGTTCCACAGGAATTGACGCTTTTCTTTCCCATTTCTGCTTTGTTAGAGCTGCATAACTCCAGGGCTCTCCCCAGGAATTCCCTTTTCATCCCGTCAGACACACGAGGAGGAGGAGGAGGAGGAGGAGGAGGAGGAGGAGGAAGAGGAGGAGGATTTCTTGCACCCACCCTGCTCTGTGAACGTGGTTTTATTTTTATTCATGCAACAAAGAGTTTTTAATTTGGAGCTGAAATGAGATTTGGAGACACTTGATGTGGGGACGGGCTATAAAATATCACTGAATTGCTCAATAAATGTCACAGAATCACAGATCAGTTTGGTTGGAAGGGACCTTAAAGCTCATCCATGGGCAGGGACACCTTCCACCAGCCCAGGCTGCCCCGAGCCCCGTCCAGCCCTGTCCAACCCATCCCAGGGATGGGGCAGCCACAGCTTCTCTGGGCAACCTGTGCCAGGGGCTCACCACACACGGCTGAGCCCCTCAGAGCCCCCCTTGAGCCCCTCAGAGCCCCCCCTGAGCCCCTCAGAGCCCCCCTGAGCCCCTCAGAGCCCCCCCTGAGCCCCTCAGAGCCCCCCCTGAGCCCCTCAGAGCCCCTCCTTGAGCCCCTCAGAGCCCCCCCTGAGCCCCTCAGACCCCCCCATCAGATTCTGGCTGAGCCCCTCAGACCTCACCCAGACCCCTTGGGCCCCTCAGAATCCCCCCAAGTCCTTCAGACCCCTCCTGATCCCCTCAGAGTGCCCTCCCTTGAGCCCTTCAGACCCTCCCTGAGTCCCTCAGACCCAGCTCAGACCCCCTCAGCCCCCCGAGCCCCTCATCGTCCCCCTCACGCCCGCCCCGCGCAGCCCCCGCAGCCCCCCAGCCCCGCCGGTCCCCGGGGGTGTGTCCGGGGTGTGTCCGGGGGGTGTGTCCGGGGGTGTGTCCGGGGGTGTGTCCGGGGGTGTGTCCGGGGCGTGCCCCGCCCTGTCCCTCCCCGCGGTGCCGTCACTGTCGCGCTGCGGTGACGTCACTGTCGCGGGGCGATGCCGTCACGGGCGCGGGGCCGCCATGCACCGGCGGGGGGTGGGCGCGGGGGCGATCGCCAAGAGGAAACTCGCCGAGGTCAGGGCGGGACACGGGACGGGGGCACAGCGGTGGCGAGGGGGTGTCGGGCCCGGGGGCGGCGGGACAGGCGCGGAGCGGGGCGGGGGCACCGAGACACACCGGGGCCGTGGGAGGGGGGTCAGGGACCCCGGTATCGGGGGAGCTGTCAGAGCCCCTGGGCCGGGGGAAGGGGAACTGCCGGGGTCCACTGGGGCCGTGGGAGGGGGGTCAGGGGTCACAGTCCGGGCTGGGGGAGCAGCCAGAGCCCCTCATTTGGGGTTGGGGTAAGGAACTGCCAGAGTCCCTTATTTGGGATGGGGGGAGCAGCCAGAGCTCCTAATTTGGGGTAGGGGGAGCTGCCAGGATCCACTGGTGCCCCGTGAGGGGGGTCAGGAGCTGCCAGGCTCTTCTGGTACCGTGGGAGGAGGTTCAGGACCCCCGGTCTCGGGTGGGGGCTCTGCCAGGCTCCACTGGGGCCATGTGAGGGGGTCCAGCCCCCCCCAGCCCTGTGTGGGGCCACCCCCATCCTCACAGGGCACCCCATCCCTGCTCTGACAGGGTGCCCTGAGCCTCCCCTGGGCCCTGTATCCTCCTGGTTCCTCCATCCCTCAGGACCAGCTCCCTCCCCACCCTCAGCACCGTGTCCCTCCCCCTGTTCTCCCTCTGCAGGCCAAGTACAAGGAGCGAGGGACGGTCCTGGCCGAAGACCAGCTGGCCCAGGTGGGAGATCCCCCCTGCCCTGGGCTTGTCCCCCCCGTCCCCTTCTCCATCCGTGCCCAGGGCATTTTCCGTGCCCAGTGCCCAGTGCCTCGTCTTATCCCCAGTGCTCTCTGCTCCTGGTTTGTTCTCAGTGCTCTCCTCGCCTCCCTTGCAGATGTCCAAGCAGCTGGACATGTTTAAGACCAACCTGGAGGAGTTTGCCAGCAAACACAAGCAGGAGATCCGGAAGAACCCCGAGTTCCGGGTGCAGTTCCAGGACATGTGTGCCACCATCGGGGTGGATCCCTTGGCATGTGAGCAGCAGGCCCTGGGCTGAAGGGCAGGATTCATCTCACTCTTCCCAAACAGCTCGTGGTGCAGCTGGGGGAAAGTTTGTCCTTGAGGAAAACTGCCAGTGCTTTGATTCCTGGGGCTTGGGAATTGCTGGGAAAAGGGGTGGAGATAACAAAAATCCCAGTCCTCCCAGTGGGGTTTGTGAGCTGCCTGCTTCACAATGAGAAGGATGTTTTTCCCAGTGTTCCAGCCCCTTTTCCCTCTCTCCCTTCCCAGCTGGTAAAGGATTCTGGTCGGAGATGTTGGGAGTTGGAGACTTTTACTACGAGCTGGGAGTGCAGATCATTGAAGTTTGTTTGGCTCTGAAACACAGGAATGGAGGTGAGGATCCCACTCTGCTTCCTGGGAGATACCACTAACCAGGAGCACTTTTCCCTGTGGAAAATGGGTTGTGTCTCTCAGATTTCACTAATCACTGGGGTGGGTGATCATTTTGTCCTTGTTCTGCTTCTACAACCTGTTGTGGCTCCACCACTCTACTGATCCAGAAATCACCAGCTCTGCTCCTGTCTAGGGAACTAAAATATAACTCAGGAGCATGGAAAGGAGCAGGGCTCAGTGGCAATCCTGAAGGAGTATGAGCCTGCCTGGAGCCTGAGATTGGCTCTGAAGGATCCCAGCAGTGTCCAGGAGGTTGGAATACCAGATAGAAGTGCTTAATTAAAAGACAGTAGGTATTCTTCACTCCAAAAGGGCAATCTGAGACCAGGGATGGGCTGAAGCAGAGCCAGTGGAACTCCCACATTTTGTGGGAGGAGGAAGCAGCTGCCTGGGAACAAGGCTGGGTCATTGTCCCCCCCAGGGCTTCCCAGTGGGAACAATGAACAGACACTGGGGGGCTCTGGCAAAGCACAAGGAGCCCTGGCTGCTCTCTCTGCAGTAGTTTTGTTGCCATGAGTGATGTTTTCCTGTCCCCTCCTGTTGTCTCCCAGGGCTGATAACACTGGAAGAACTTCACCAGCAAGTGCTGAAGGGGAGAGGGAAGTTTGCTCAGGATGTCAGCCAGTGAGTGTCTGCATGTCACAGGGAAGGGGGATCAAGCAGGGTTTGGGGAAGAAAAGGGGGTGACTGGTTTGGGGACTCCAAATTTGACTTCCATGTGATTCACAGTTAATGACTTTTAGCACCCTGCTGCTGCCTGAAATGGTTTTCTCTGGGAGCCCTGAGGCTTCAAGGACTGTTGCCTTGAGCTGACAGCTCCTGGCTTCTGCTGGAGTCTCCCTCATTTCCAGGTCTGTGGGGGCAGGTCCAGGGGCTCTAACTGACCTCTGCTCCTCAGGGACGATCTCCTCCGGGCCATCAAGAAGCTGAAGGTCTTGGGGAATGGCTTTGGGATTATCCCTGTTGGTGGAACGTTTCTGATCCAGTCTGTGCCAGCGGAGCTGAACATGGATCACACGGTTGTCCTGCAGCTGGCAGAGGTACCAGGCCAGCTTTACACACCCCTTGGGGCTTCCCTGGCAGGGAACTGGGGTTAGACCTGCAGGCAAAACTGTCCCCACTCTGCTAAACTAAGGATTTAAGTCTTGGCTCGAAGCTGACAGTGTTTTAACTCTTTTTTTTTCCCAGAAAAAGGGCTTTGTGACAGTCAGTGAGATCAAGTCCAGCCTGAAGTGGGAGACGGAACGTGCAAAGCAAGTGCTGGTACGTGGGGAGGCCTCGTGTGCCAGGGGAGCTCAGGGCCAGAGGGGCTGTTCCTGCAGCCCTGGGGCACACACTGGGTGGGAATGCAGCACCAGGGATGCCCAGGGATCCTGAGCTGCTGGAATTCCAAAGGCAGAGCACACCCCGTGTAAACACAGACTGGGGAAAGCAGAATCCCAGAAGCTGCAGATATTCCTGTGGCTTCATTGATTTCATGGCATGGGTTGGGTTGGGAGGGACCTCAAAGCCCATCCAGTGCCACCCCCTGCCATGGGCAGGGACACCTTCCACTACCCCAAGTTCTCCAGGTTCCATCCAACCTGGCCTTGGACACTCCCAGGGATGGGGCAGCCACAGCTTCTCTGGGCAACCTGTGCCAGGGCCTCCCCACCCTCCTTCCCAGTATCCCACCTAACCCTGCCCTCTTGGAATCTTTGAAGTCAGTAGAATTTTGTGAGCTCATGAACACAGGAAGATGTCTGGACTATATTTCTCCCGGTCGAGTAAAAATTATCCCAAGTTCTACCCCCTCCCTTCCCTGAGATAAATGTGGGGTTGGGCTCTCCTGGCAATGCCCCCTGAGCCACTGAAGTGTCACTCACAGTTTCTGCTCTGTTTGCACAGGAACACTTGCTGAAGGAAGGAATGGCCTGGCTGGATGAGCAGGCACCAGAAGAGCCTCAGTACTGGCTCCCTGCTCTCTTTACAGAGCTGTACTCTCAGGAAATCACTCCAGAGGAAGCCAAGGAGGCAATTCCTTGACTGCTCCCTGTTCTGTGCCTGTCTAGAATCCTCGGGAGGTTCTTTGCATATCACCTGAAACACAGGGACAGTGGACTTGAAATAAAAGGGGTTTGTAAAAAGTGTCTACCTTGAAAATCTTCTAGGATTCGCTCCTGCTGGCTTACCTCTGGATTTGCTCCCTGGCTGGGGGTGGAAATGCCACTTGCTACTGGAGACTAAATGTCACAGCAAGAGGAAAATTATCTGGAGTCTTAAAGGATGCAAATGGGATTCTGGCTAAAGAAGTGGGGAAGCTCTTGTGTAGCTCTGCTCTGGGAAGGAGTTGTTGGTTGGTTGGTTGTTGTTCCTCTAAGGAATCACCACAGGCTCCATTCTGCCAAAACAAACTTTATTGCACAAAAAAAAAAAAAAAAAAAAAAAAAAAAGAAAAAAAAAGAAAAGAATCTTATGTACAATAGTATATAAACAAGGTATCTTAGAGTGACTCTTGTGCATATATTTTCAACTCAGTTAGGTCTAAAAATCTGTTGCTAAAACATCTCTGCCTAGAGCAGTCATTGAGGATTGTCACTTGGAAATGGAGACATTCAGAAATGGCAGGACAGAACATCAGAGCTAGAAAACTAATACTTCTCTTAGAGCCACATGCGAGGTGGGTGAGCAGTGTCCACAGTAAGGCATTTTCTCGTTCCTTGGAGGGGTGATGGTCACACCACATGCACCACACAGGGGCAGAGCCAGCCCTGCCCCGGGCAGGCAGCAGAGCCACAGCTCCCCCCACCACGGACTGAGGGGACAAACAACGTCACATTTACAGTGGGAGGTGCTGCCAGACCTCTCAGGAGACCCAAAACTCACCCCAGGGTGAACCCCACTCCTTCACCCCCCGCTCAGCGAGTCCTATGTCAGCTCAGCTTTCCCTCCAGGGAACATTTTCAGTCTAAATCACGCCCCAGGGGGGTTTGCTAAAGGGGGAAACCCAAATTTCTCCGGTTGTTAAACAACACCTTAATTCAGAAACGTTTCCACCCTTCAGCTCTGCAGAGTGCAGGGCTCTGAGGGCCGTGAGAGTTGGGATCAGTCACAAAGGCTGGGAATGATCCCGTGGCACACGGGGCATCGCCTCGCTGTGCTGGTGCTGAAGTTCTCCCACCACCACCAGGAATCTGCAACGGGGCCAAACTGGTGGGAAGGTGTTTAAGGAAACTGGGAGAGGGCCCAGGACAATGTGCAACTTCGTGCTTAGCTTTCTATCAAAGCTCCCATACAAATAATTAAAAAAAAAATATCATAAGCTCCTTATCAACAAAACTCTGCTCCAATCAATCCTCCCCAGGCTCCACTACCTGGAGAAAGTGGGTTTCTCACCTGCACCCACTGAACACGTTGGAGGGAATGGCACAGCCAGCAGACACCTCTCCAAGAGGGTGGCCTTCACTCACAGGAAAAACCTGCTCTCTGAAACACTCACATACACTCGAGCGTCAAAGGTTTCCAACACTCAGCCAAGTTTGGCAAAGGAATTTGTCCGTAACAAGGCATCCACCTCCACAAAACTCCAGCCAGGAGTCGCCCCTTATTCCACTTCCAGCAGTTCCACCTGATGGACCAAGGGAGCAGCAGGGAGGGAGGTGGCAGGAGGAAGATGGGAGGAAAATAAAATGTGACACCCACTGGAGAGGTGGAAAGCAGAGAACTTCAGGTGAGGAAACACGAATGAAATACTTCCAGAATGCTAAATTCAAATCAACACCTTAAAAAAATAATACACAAACTAGACTGGTTTGTAAGTGCTTCCCCCCCATCTCTGACCAACAAGTTTCTCATCCTCCCTTCCCCAAAAATGCCAGGATGGCCAATCCTGCACTCCACTCACAGATCCCTGCAGCTTCCACTTCCCACCTGCCCCTTTGCACCCGGAGTTTCAAAAGCCACCCAGGGCTTGAGTAAAGCTTTCAGAAAGGAGCCCAAACTCCACCACTGCTCTTTATCTTTGGTCTGCCTAGGAGAGAGACATCAAGGTAGCTGGGCTCCACGGAGCAGAGAGGCTCCACCTGCCCCAGGTTTCCCCTGGCCACACCCTGGACTCGTGGAAGCGCCTCCACAGCCACAGCTCCACGTTCAGCCCCGGGGGAAGGGCTCACTGTCTAGGAACAGAGAAGCTGCCAAGGGTTTGCAGTCTAGATCTCATTCTTTAATCAAATGGAGGGGAAAAAAAAAAACAAAAAACAAAACAAAACAAAAAAAAAAAACCTCAAACAACCAGTGTAGGTGTTTCCAAACCAAAATAACCTGGCGCCACGTGCTGCGGCTTTGCTAGCACAGGGAGTACCTTCGGGAGCAGCCTGGCACCAGCGGGGCTTGGCGAGCCTGGAGCCTCCTCAGTCAGCGTTTCCCAGAGCAGTGAGGGGGGCAGGGGGGCCCCCGTGTTCCTGCTCTGGCAGTGGGTGGGTGGTGGAGTCTGTCGGGGCTGTGGGCAGAGCAGCCCCCTCTAAGCTTTGGAGCAGCCCTGCGGGTCCGTCTCTGTCTCGGAGGAGCTGCTCTCTGAGTCCATCTCCGGGGGCTCCTGCTGGTGCTTCTCCTGCACCCTCTGCCGGATCCCCTGCAAACGCACCAGCAGCGACTGGTAGTCAAAGTGGCCTCGCTTCTCACCGAAGGGATCCTGAAAGAAAAGCGGGGGTGAGCCAGTGAACACAGCCCATCGTCCCTCTGGCAAGGGCTATTCCAGCTGTGTAATAACTGTGCACAAAAACTGTCCTTTTCACCAAAAGGATCCTGAAAGAAAAGCAGGGATGAACCTGTTAACACAGCCCATCAGCCCTCTGGCAAGGGATATTCCAGCTGTGTAATAACTGTGCATAAAAATTGTCCTTTTCACCGAAAGGATCCTGAAAGAAAAGCAGGGATGAGCCAAGTCAGGGGCACAAAGTCTTTGAAGGTTATTTAATATTTGCTGCTTTTATGCCCATCCCAGGTCAAAGACACGTTGCCAGGGTTAGATGAGGTGCTGGTGGGGTTTGTGCTGTCCTATCTGATGGGAATCTTTGGTACAAGCCAACATGTGGCCCCAGAATTAACAAAACAGCACATCTGGCAAGGACTCAACTGATACTGAGCCTGGGGTGACTTCATTTGAAATACTCATGAAAACAATGATATCATCTCTCCAGCACCTTGTTTTCAGGCTTCCTGTGCTACTGTTTACAAGTGAGCAGAAAACCAGGCATGGCACCATCCCCTCTGGGAACTGAGCACGACTCAGTGATCCTCCCAGAGCCTGGGGAGAGCACTGAGCTCCTGCAAGGAGAAACCAGAGGGGGCCACACCAGACAACCCTCATGTCACCAAACTGCACCACAGCCTCAGTTCACTACTCCCTGCAGCTCTAAGTCGAGCACAGGCACTCATCAGGGGAATTTCTCACTCCAAACATAACTCTCCTGCTTCAGGAGTGCTTCCAGTTTATGAATTACACAGCACTGAGAGGGAAAAAAAGGGCTCGGAGACACGAGATCATTAAATCAACCACCTCCATCTTTCCCTAGCAGTGGGATTTCTCAATGAGTCAGAGGAGAGGTGGTGGATGAGGGAGGAAGACACATCTGTTCATATGCAAACAGCTTGGCAATGTGGTCTGTAAAGTCTCCTTCCCTGCAGAAAGGAGCTCCTGGATTCCACCTGTCTGGATGTGTCTGTTGTACCGTCCCTGTTCCTCCCTCAGCCACTCTGCACCTCCTCTGACAGAACAAGGAGTGGCAGAGAGAAGGTCTCATCTGCTGTCTGAGCAAAGGAGCCTCAGAAAAAGAGAAACTCTACCAGTGACCCAGCAGGAAAAGGCTGCACTGGAGTTCAGCTGCCACCAGCACTGGATCACCTGGATGTGAAAGCAAACTGCACCAGGGGAGAGCAAACTGTGCCACTGCCAGGGCTGAAAGCAGCACCTGCTTGCCTGGAGAGCACCTCAGGCCCAGCCCTCAGAAATCTGACAGCCTGGGAGATATTTTGTGTGTGCCCTCTGCATTTGGGGATGGCAGTGCTGCACCCACAGGAGCCCCTCAGGTCTCAGTTCCGTGGCTGGTTCAAAGCTGGAGTACAGATCTCCCAGATCCACCTCTGGTGCTGCACACTGTGGTCTGTCACCAACCCCAGCCCCTTGTCACCAGGGGAACTGGCTGGCACTCACCTGCATGGTTTGTCCTTGGAGATACAGCCTCTCTTTACACACCCCTTCGTAGAAGTCGTAGTATTCCATGAAGGACTTCTCCATGACACCCCTGAACGCAAGCAGAGGGCAAACAATCAACACAACAACAGTCACATCACCCAGGGTCACCCCATCCCACTGGTTCCAGTTCCTGGAGCTGTCTGGGACACCCTGTGTGTGTCCCTCAGAGGGCACAGACAGGCAGGACAGAGCCAAGGAACTGCAGAGCCCTGCAGCTGAAGGGATGCTGCACGTGTTTCCACAACAGCTGTGCCCTCCTCCCTCCAGGATTTTTTTTCCCCAGAGGACAAGGCCCATTTATTCCCAAACCCAAGCCAGAGGATGCAGCCATTGTGCTCAGTAACAGGCCTTTGTCCTGGCACAGCTCCTGGGCACCACCCGGACCAGCCACCCACTGCAGGGGGGCAAAACCTTGGCTGGGCCAGGCAGAGCAGCTCCCAGGATCTCAGGAACAGTTTATCCTGCTTCCCCCACCCCCTTCTGCTCTTTTCCATACCTTAAAGGCTCGGGACAGGGACACTTCCCTTCCAGCATGTCACACACTGCCACCCGGATGGTCTCGTGCCGAATGCACTCGTTGTAGTTCTTGCTGTCCCCAGGGTGCCTCTCCTGCCAACACAGTTCGGGCCAGTGAGTCCAAACCTCTGCAGTGGCTCTTCATCTCTCCCTCCTGGGCCTGCCAAGCTGCACTGGTGCATGGACCCCCAACAGCTCTGTGCTGCTGAGCTGATTCACACAGCACAGGAAGAGCCGGCAGGGTCTGATGTGCCCCCAGAGCCCTGGACTCGCACGGGGTGGAGACAAATGCAGTGAAAAAGTTGGCACAGAAAGCTGCCCCCCTCCAGGAGACCAGGAAAACCTGAGCAGTTTGGTTCCTGCAGGACAATAAGGCCCAGGGAAGCCATTCCAGGAGTGGTGTAGCAGGGAAAGGAAGAGCCATCCCATGTCCCCAGCAACTCATGTTCTTCCCTCACACTCAGGTGAGCTCAGCAGCCTCTGCTACAGAGCTGGCTTGTACTCCCCCTCCAGCTCGAGCTGGGAAAGAGCCAAGCCACCTCACCTCCTTCTGATCCCAGTTCCAGCATGGGATTTGCCACCAGGAGCGAGGTGTGGAGGGAAGCTCCAGCTCCAAGTCTCACCTGCTCGAAGCCGGGCTCGTTGTGATAAGGGTTCTCAGTCATCAGGGACTGGATGGAGATGAGGACTGAGGAGATACTCTGAGCTGGGCTCCAGGCAGGCCCGGTCCAGGTGCTGGGACAGCAAAACAGAAAAGCAGCAATTAATGAACCAGGCAGGATTGGATCAGGGAGCACCATCCCTGCACCAGCAACGCTCACAAACCACACCTGGACCCCAGAGAAAGGCACAGGAGGAGAAAGAGCTGCCACAGGTAGAACAGCACTGGGCATTGAGAAAGTTTTCAGGGTCAAAGTAGCTTGTTCTCTCAGCTAAATGAGCACCACAAGGCTGACAAACCTCACTCCACTAACAGACACAGGAATCACAGGGAAGTAACAGGGAATTCTGAAGCTCTGGCTGTCACCCCACCCAGCAGCCTGGAGCAACCCAAGCTACCAGCACTGTCTGAGGTCAGGAATAACTCCTAAGAACTGAAATCTGATCTTCCAGACTCGAACAGGCCCATCACTCCTGCAGCCCTGCAGCCCCCCAGCACAAGCACTGCCCCAAAAGCATGAGCTCACGGGAGTGAGGTGCTCGTCTCACACACGGGGCAGCAAAACCCTTTGCACTGAACAGCATCAGCAGAAAAAGCTGTTCTGCTGCTTGCCCTCAATATCCCAGCTCCAGCTCCAGCCCTGCCTCCCTGTGAGCTCAGGGAGGATGTGCTGACCCACATATCCTCTTCCCAAATCCTTTTATTCGTGGCTCCCTCTGCGCTTCCCATCCCTGCTCAGGCCCAGGCTCTTTGTTCACTCTTCAATAATTCACCTTCCCTGCTGCAGCTCCGATTGCAGGAGCCACAGGGCAGCTGCTGGGGGAGCTGCTGGGGGAGCTGCTGGGCATCCAGGCCCCTCAAACAGGGGCATGCCCTGCATGTCCTGGCCACTGGCAGGTGTTGGCATCCAGCTCGTGGATCAAGAAGGTGTTTCCCAGCAGGATCCATCTCCCTGCCAGGACCCATCAGCTGCTGGGACCAGCTCTGGGGCACAGCCACAGCACTGCTGGAACCATCCCAGGAAAGGCAGTTTTACAGCCACACCAGGACTCAGCTTCCTGGGGGGTGATCACATCCAGCTGTTGCTGCCCCTTCTCTTGGAATGGCTTGGGTGGGAAGAGACCTTCAAGCTCCGTCTCATCCCACCCCCTGCCATGGGCAGGGACACCTCCCACCAGCCCAGGTTGCTCCAAGTTCCACCCAACCCAGCCTTGGACACTTCCAGGGATGGGGCAGCCACAGTTTCTCTGGGAAACTCTTCATTCAACCAGGACTTTCCCGTGTTTAAAACTCCAGCAGGGGAGGAACAAGGATTTGCAGCAGTGGAGCCTGTTGGAACAGGCAGCACAGGAGCTGTGCTTTTAACTCATCCCACCCACAGCTCAGCCCCACAGCCTCAGTGGAGGTGGAAGCCCAGAGCAGTCAAATGGCTCTCAAGGAAGTTCTTAGCAGCTTTTATTTTTCCAATTTGTTTTATTTATTTATTTTTAAGCCCATATGGAGAGAGGAAATTAAACCCACAAAAACCTACATTTAAACAACATTAAGGACCAGGCTGGAAAGTGCAAAAGCAGAGGAAGTGCAGTGCTTGGTCAGAGGGTTTGCAAGGGGAAGCAGGAGAAAAAGCAGCAAAATCCCCTGAATTTTGTGCTTGGCTCTCTCCATTCTCAGGTGCTTTTAAAGGCAAGTGAAACCCTTATTTCAGGAGAGGGATTTGTGCTGCTTTATGGCTCTGACTCTGCACACGACTCCACAGAAGCATAAAGATGCACCCAAGCACAAGTGTGGGGGCAGGACCGGGGCCCGACGGGCAGAGAGGGAGCACGAGGCAGAAGAGGGCCCGCAGCCACCTCCTGATTGCCAGGAAAAGAGCCAAAGTCTCCTCTTACCCCAGAATACTCAGGCAGACTTTCCCATTGCGGTAGAAGTTGGGGTTAAACCTCACTGTGTTATTTCCCGTTGTCATCAGTTTGACCCGGGGTGGGTGGATGGGATAATCTGGAGGACAGCGAAACAGGAACAAGAAGAAACCCCCTTCATAAGGCGTGTCAAATGGGCCTGTGATCAATGCATGAATCTGCAAAACAAAAGCCCGGCTTGCGCTCCACGTCCGCTGCCACCGCGGCCCGACCACTTCCATGTGTCCCGACCACTTCCACGCGTCCCGACCACTTCCACGTGTCCCGACCACTTCCATGTGTCCCGACCACTTCCACGCGTCCCGACCACTTCCATGTGTCCCGACCACTTCCATGTGTCCCGACCACTTCCACGTGTCCCGACCACTTCCACGCGTCCCGACCACTTCCACGCGTCCCGACCACTTCCACGTGTCCCGACCACTTCCACGCGTCCCGACCACTTCCACGTGTCCCGACCACTTCCACGTGTCCCGACCACTTCCACGTGTCCCGACCACTTCCACACTGTCCCAACCATTTCCACGTGTCCCGACCACTTCCACGTGTCCCGACCACTTCCATGGTGTCCCGACCACTTCCACGTGTCCCGACCACTTCCACACTGTCCCGACCACTTCCACACTGTCCCGACCACTTCCACACTGTCCCAACCACTTCCACACTGTCCCAACCACTTCCACACTATCCCAACCACTTCCACACTGTCCCAACCACTTCCACACTGTCCCAACCACTTCCACACTGTCCCACACCACATTGTCCCACCCCCCCTTCCCTCAGACTCATCCACACCTTCCACCAGCCCAGGTTGCTCCAAGCCCCATCCAACCCAGCCTTGGACACTTCCAGGGATCCAGGGGCAGCCACAGCTTCTCTGGGAAACCTGTTCCAGCCCCTCCCCACCCTCCCAGAGGAGAATTCCTTCCCAATATCCCATCTAAACCAACTCTCTCTCGGTTTAAACCCATTCCCCCTTGTCCTGTCCCTCTATCCCCAGTCCCTCTCCAGCTCTCCTGGAGCTGCTTTAGGCCCTGGAAGGGGCTCTCAGGTCTCCCCAGAGCCTTCTCTTCTCCAGACTGAACACCCTCAGCTCTCTCAGCCCTGCTCCAGAGCAGGGGGGCTCCAGCCCAGGGATCCTCTGGACTTGCTCCAACAGGTCCAAGTTCTTTCTTGTGTTGGGAGCCCAGAGCTGGGTGCAGAACTCCAGGTGGGGCCTCACCAGAGCAGAGCAGAAAGGTGGAATCCCCCCCTCCCCCTGCTGCCCAGAGTGGGAGGATGAGCCCAGGCCTCTCCATCCCAAACCACACAGAACCACAGCTCAGGTGCTGAGCTGGGCTTAAAAAAAACCCCACCAGAAATATTTCAAATATGAAAAAAAAAAATCTAATTTTAGAAAGAAAAAAAATAAATTCAGAATTTCTGCCAAAACTGGAACATTCCTCAGCTTTCTGTTCTCCTGCTGATTTGGTCTTGTTAAAACCAATCACTTCCTCTGCCAGGATCTGAAATCAAGACCCTATTCTGCCTCTGCTAATTACCCTCGAGATCCCAGATTGCATACCAGGAAATCTATTCCCCTTGGGCTATTAAGGAAGCTTTACTCCCCCAGTGATCCAAGTTAATGATCCTCTTCCCTCCCCAGGATTTTGGTTCAAGGCCCCGAGGCTGGAATTCTACCAACCCACCTTTCTGTGCTGGGGTATTTTGGCACTCCCTGCAGGGAAGTGCCCCAGGGGGGAGCTGCCTGTACCCAGACACTCCCTCTCTGCTCCCTCCAAAATCCCAGGGGCTCTAATTCTCCAGGGGGGGAATTTGGGGATGCCACGTTTGCTGGGGGTGGGAGAAGTGCAGGACAGGGTAAACCAAAGGAGCCTCTCCCAGCCCCCAGAGCCCAGCCCAGGGAACACTGGCTGGAGAAAGGGCAGCACCACCAAAACCACACTGGATCAAGAGGTTGGAGCAACTCCTGCCTCCCAGCTGACTGGGAATTCCAGGAATTCCAGGAATTCCCAGTTCTGGAAAACCCTGAGAGCCTGGAGGGGAAGAAGGAGGGCAGGAGAGGGAGGCTGTGGCCAGGCCTGTCCCCAGAGGAGCCTGTGGGACCCTGGCAGGCAGCTCCAGAGTCTATCCCAGCAATCCACATTTCCCTGCCAGCTCCCAGCAATTCCCATTTCCAGGCTCCAGAGGCAGATCACAGCCACTCCAGCCCTTTCTGCCACCAATGGACACTCTGATTTCCAGCTGCTCTGAGAAGCCCCCCCAGAGCCACCGGTTTTCCACAGAGCTCTCCCTTCTTTGGGATGTTCCACTCATTGTTTTCAAGCATCAGTGGGATGAAACAAGCTGGATCAGCACCCCCAGTGTCCACCAAACCAGAGCTGGGTTATCCATGGAATCTCCTCAGCCCACCAGGATGGTACCTCTGCACAGAGCCAGCCTCCTTGGGAGCCTCCTCCCATTTGAATGCATCCCATCCCAGTGGCACCAGGAAAACTGGAGCCCTGTGCTCTTGCAAGGCTCACCCCCACTCCTCTCAGAACACCAAGGGAATATTCCACTGGGGAAACCCTCCCAGCAGCCATGGACACAACACACAGAGCAGCAGGGAGCTGAACCAGCTCCAAAGCTCTCACCTTGGTCATGTCGTGGGGATCAGGCACAACAAACATTCCTGGGGGTGGTTCCTTGTAAATGGACATGATATCCCTGAGGAAAGGAAAGAGGAATTAGTCAAGGTGTCCCTCGGTGGGTCTGGGTGACAAACCCCTGCACGGGTGCCAAGGGACAGACTTTGAAGGTGGAAACTTGTCATTTGTAAGGAGACAGACGGTTTTCCCTTGGCTCTGACAGTTTTCTGGATGAGTTCCTTCGATTTATCCCCCAAAATCACTGAGGCATTTCAGGAGCAGCAGTCAATGAACCAGCACACCTTGATTAACTTGTGTTTTACCACAGATCACCTCCAGCACGTCAAACTCCAGCCAGAAATCCCCCCCAGGGAGCTGTTTTCAAGTCCTGTGAGGTGAGGTTTGTTATTTAAGGGATAACCTCTCCCTCCTGAGGTTTTCCCTCTTCACACCCAGACCATTTACAGGATCCCTTTCTGTGCTCACTCATTTGTTTTCCCAAACCATGACTCAACCACTTCTGGGAATGTTTTGCTCTGAGCCATTTGGGGTTAATGGATCAGACAGAAGGTCCCAGAGCAGTGAGGGTGCAACACCCCCCCAAGCTGATCCCAACAGCCTCCCTTCTCCAAGAACTCAGCCCAAAATGAACCAAACCCCAACAAATCCCCTACAACCCCGTGCAGCTGACAGACAAACTGCTGAATTCCATCACCCAAACCCTCTCTCCTGTAATCAGAGCTGTGCTGAGCTTCAGGACAAGCTCCCACTCGACCTTCCTTCCCATTTGGGAAGGGACCAGAGCTCGGGGAGGTTTCAAGGTGAGGAGGGTGAGAGCAGCAGGAGAAGCCTCTCCCCTCCCTGCCTGCTCTGGGTTGGAAACTGCCCAAAAATCTGGAGCCATCTTTGGGAGACATTCTCCAAGCTCCAGAACAAGGATGAGCAAGAGCCTGGCAGGCAGCAATTCCTGCTCTGAGGGAAGAGGAAGGACTTGTTGAATCAGCGCCAGCGTTTCCAACAACACCAGACCTTCCTGCTCCTTCTGGCAAAGGGGATCCACAGGTTGATCCAGGGGATCCCTGGGAGGGTCAGGGCAGCCCCACGGGTGGGCACTGGCAGGAAGGAGGAGGGTGAAGGGCAGGTTTGCTGTGAATATTTTAACTTGGCTGCCAGGGAACCAAAAAATCTGTTCCCCTCCCAAATGTAACGGCACCTCCCAGGAGCCGCCAGGGATCCCGAGGGCAGGATTAGGAGCTCTGCTGCCAAACCCCCCAGGGCACCTGACAGAGACCCCAAGGGGTGGCACAGAGGGACCCCCGGGCTGGCAGGGGTGAGACCCACACAATCCCAAACACCCGGGAGAGGAGATTCCAGGCCAGGAATCCCGGGAGGTCCAAGGCCAAGTTGGACAGGGCTTGGAGCAACCTGGGAGAGTGGAAGGTGTCCCTGCCCATGGCAGGGGGTGGCACTGGATGGGTTTTAAGGTCCCTTCCAGCCCAAACCCGTGTGGGATTCTGTGATTCCAGGGCATGGTGGGGACTGGAGTGTGTGCCCTGGAGAGCCCTGGGACACAGGGATGGACCGCGGTCTGTTCCCAGGGAAACCTTGGGACACAAGGAGGGACCGGGACTTGTCCTCAGGATAACCCTGGGACAGAGGGAAAGAACCAGGGCTTGTCTCCAGGAGAGCCCCGGGACACAGGGAGGGACCGGGGTCTGTTCCTAGGGAGGCCCGGGGACACCGGGAGCCGATCCCGGCTCTCCAGGCCGGCCGGTGACGGTCCGGTGCGGCCCAAGGGGACCGTTACCCCCCCGAGGGGACGAGCCGAACGTCTCCTCCACACGCGAGCCTCGCTCCGTGCCCGGCGGGTCCGATCCCCGGAGCCCCCCGGTGCCGGGCCCCGCTCACCGTTTGATCCGCAGCAGGCAGGCCGGGCTGGGCCTCTCGCTGTCCCAGTCCCCGCTGACCGTGGGGTCCCAGAAGGCCGAGTGCGTGAGGAGCGCGGCCCCCGCCGCCGCCGCCGCCGCCATCGGGGCCCCGCCGCTCGCGGGGGCCACGCCGGTGCCGGGCGCGGCGGCGGCGGCGGCGCCGAAACCCGCGGCCGCCCAGAGCTCGGCGGGGATGAAGACGCCGGGGGTGCCCGCGGAGCCGGCGGCGCTCGGCGAGGCGCTGCCGCCGCCGCCCGCCCCCAGCACCGCGGCCGGGGCCGGGGCCGCGTCCTCGGCCGCCGGGCTCTCCGCCATTGCGGCCTCGGCCCGCGCCGCTTCCGGGACTCCGCACCACCGAGGCGCGCGGCCAGAGCGGCCCCGCACCGCCCACGCCCCACGCCCCCGGCGGACCATAGAGAGCGAGACAGAGCGGCTCTCCCGCAGCGCCGCCTCGTTGCGAGCCTTGGTATTTCCTTGACATGGCGCCCCCTGGTGTAGTGGAGGTCTCAAGGGGTGGAGGGAGAAAGGAGGGTTTGGGGTGTTTTTTGGGGTGGGAAGGGGGGTTTATGGAATCCTGGAGTCATGGAAACAGTCAGGTTGGAAAAGACCTCTAAGGTCTCTGCTCCTCAGGGCAGTAGTCACGGCCACAAGGCTGCCAGAGCTCAAGGAGTGCTTGGACAACACTCTCAGGCACAGGGTGGGATTTTGGGGGGTCCTGGGCAGGGCCAGGAGCTGGACGGGATGATCCCTGGGGGTCCCTCCCAGCACAGGATATTCCGTGATTCTAAGATCACTGTGTCCAGCCATTCCCCCAGCACTGCCGAGTCCATTAACCCACGTCCCCAAGTGCCACATCCACAGGTTTTTTAAATCCCTCCGGCGATGGTGACTCCATCACTTGGTTCCAGTGCCTGGACACCCTTTCCATGAAGAATTTTTTTCCAATATCCAATCCAAACCTCCCCTGGATGTTTCCTCTCATCCTGTTACTCGGGAGAAGAGATTGAGACCCTTTAGGGAAGCGGCTGCTGTGACAGACGGGCTGGGAAAACACCTCAGGGAAGGGTCTGAGCTCCGGGCAAGGAGCAGCCCTGGGATCAGGCAGCTCCCAAGGGTTCAGATCCCCAACCCAGCAGCCTCAGGGCTGGAAAACAGCTGGATCAAAGGGCTAGGAGAGCGGGGAAAGCTGTTTTTCCAGCTCATAGGAACCCAGCAGCTGTGCCCGTGGTCCCTGCAGGACCATCCCACTCCTCCAACCCCCCCCAGAGCTGCCCAGAACCACCCTGGGATGAACAGCAACGATGTGCTGGGGGAGCAATTCCAGCTCCAAGGTCACTTTTTGCTTTACAGGGATCCAAGGAGTTGTTTATCCAGTTCCATACGTGCAAGGGAGTTTAAATGTAACTAAGGCAGCCCCAGCAACAGTGTTGTTTTCCCAGGGCAGCAAGTTTTGGGTGCCAGCTACAACCTATGGACACCCTGGGAAGATTCCCAAGGCACGGGATCCCTGCTTTAGGGTTACACATTTATTCCCAGGATCCAGAGAACTTTTCCTCTCTAATTCAGCCGAGTTTCCCTCGAGTTCTTTCTGCTTTCAGAGCCACGTTTCTCCAAGTCTCGGAGGTTTTTTGACTCGAATTCTCCTCACCCCCTTCCCCTCACAGGGAATTCCTCCCAGCAGCAATTCCAAACAGAATTTCATATTCCTGCACCCCATTCCCGTGCCCAGGGAGGTCACCACCCCTCCGCAGAGGCTTTAAGGACAAGGAGTAGCTGCATTAATTCAATTACTTAAAGCAGATAAGGAGACAAGCTCCCTCCAGGCTCCCCTTCCTTAAAGGCACAGCTGCCTCCCCCCCAGGCCCAGATTTTGGGGTGGATTTGGGCATTTCTCCTCCCTGATATACTCCAGTCTCTAAAACAGATGGAGCACGGAGCTGTGGGGAGGGGGGGGCAAAAAAAAAAAACAACAAAGCCCCCTCAGCTCTTTATTTTATCAATTTACTTTCATTTTAACAGAATAATGGCTTATTCTACCAGTTTAGTGCATTGTTTTAATGGAGCAATGGATTTTTTTTAATAGATTAGTGGATTATCACAATCAGCTGTGATTCCTTGGGTAAACTTTGCTTTGAAGAGGCACGTGAACAGTGAACAGCGTGACCTTGAAACCGGCTCTTCCTGGAAAAGGAAGGAAATTCCCACGATGTGGGGGCACTTCCTGGGAATTCAGCCCTGCAAACACCATTAACACACCTGTGAGCACCCTCACCTCACACCCAGCACCTTTTCCAGGTGCTCTCAGCTGAAAGAAAGGGAGCATTTCCAACAACAGACTGGTGAAAATATGGAATCATGGAATGGTTTGGGTTGGAAGGACCTTAAAGCTCACCCAGTTTCACCCAGGGACACCTCCCACTATCCCAGGGTGCTCCCAGCCCCGTCCAGCCTGGCCTTGGACACTTCCAGGGATGGGGCAGCCACAGCTTCTCTGGGAATCCACTCCAGCCCCTCACAGAATTTCTCCCTGTTATCCAATCCCAACCTACTCTCACCAAGATTTGCTTTAAAAGGGCAACACTTTCGGGGACTTTTAATAGATTTGTTTTAGTTGACTTCCCCTCAGTTTTTGTCCCCTCCCACGCCATTCCACACTCCCTGTTTGCTTCATCCCACCCCTGGGATATCACACCCTTCGACCAAGCCCCGAAAACTCCCCCGCCACCGGACCGGAATGCTAAAAAACAAAGGAAAGAAACCAACCCAAAAACCAAGCCACCAGTTTATTTAGAGAAATCCTTTCTTCAATGGTCAGTCTGGAACGCTGCGATGGGAGGAGGCTCCAGTGGCCAGGCCGGAGCGCCGGGAGCCGCGGCCGGAGCCGTCACATGGCGAAGAGGATCAGGAATGCCACCATCAGACAGAAGAGCCCCATGGCCTCGGACAGGGCAAAGCCCAGGATGGCATAGGAGAAGAGCTGCTGCTTGAGGGAGGGATTCCTGCGGGGCGGGAGGAAAAGCAGGAAGGAAGCACAGTGAGGAAGAGCCGCGGCGAGAAGGGAACGGGCAAAGCGGAGCCCGGAATTCCCGGGATTGTGTCCCACAGGCAGAGCACAGAGCAGTGGCGGGGCAGGCAGCCAGCAGCTGGAATGGCACAGCCAGCAGCTGGAATGGCACAGCCAGCAGCTGGAATGGCACAGCCAGCAGCTGGAACGGCACAGCCAGCAGCTGGAACGGCACAGCCAGCAGCTAGGATGGCACAGCCAGCAGCTGGAATGGCACAGCCAGCAGCTGGAACGGCACAGCCAGCAGCTGGAACGGCACAGCCAGCAGCTGGAACGGCACAGCCAGCAGCTGGAATGGCACAGCCAGCAGCTGGAATGGCACATCCCTGCTTTCAGGGGTGCTGAACCCTGAGGGAGACTCTCAGCTGGTGGCACTGAGCTACAATTCCCGCTCACAATCAGGGCTCCCTTTCTTCCAGAGGCAGCGGGATCCTTTGGAATTAATTACAGGGTGGATTCAAACAACTGAGGAACTTTGTTATTTAAGAGAACAACGGGTAATTTTAAGAGAATAATGGATTCCTTTTTTAATAAATTAACACTATTTTAATAAAATGACGAGGGGTTTTAATGAATTAGTGGATCTTATTTAATAGATTCATGGGATTATTTAAATAGATTCATGGAAATTTCTTATTAGATTTATGGGCTTTTTCAATAGATTGGTGGAAATTTCTTAATAGATTCATGGATTTTTTAATAGATTCATGGATTTTTTAATAGATTCATGGATTTTTTAACAAATTCATGGATTTCATAGACTCATGGATTTTTTAATAGACTCATGGATTTCTTTAATAGACTCATGGATTTCTTTAACAGACTCATGGATTTCTTTAACAGACTCATGGATTTTTTAACAGACTCATGGATTTCTTTAACAGACTCATGGATTTCTTTAACAGACTCATGGATTTCTTTAACAGATCATGGAATTCTTTTATAGATCCATGGGTTATAACAACCATTTTCCATCCCAGGGGCCGTTTCAGTCCCACACGACTCCCCCCCCAGCCCAACCCCCGTCCCTGGGCTGGTGCCGGGAAGGGCCGCGCTGCTCACCTGGCGTAGCCGATGATGAGGCTGCCGAAGACGGTCCCGATGCCCGCTCCCGACCCCGCCACCCCCACCGTGGCAGCCCCGGCCCCGATGAACTTGGCGGCCGTGTCGATGTCCCGGGACACGGCGCTGCTCCGGAACTGCCGCCGCAGCAGCTGTGGGGAGGAGGCGGCGGCTCCCTGCGGGACAGGCAAGGGGGCGGGAGTGAGAGAGCGCGGGGCTCTGCAGGGGAGGGCTGGGAGCGAAGCCACGGCCCCGCATTTGCCGCCCCCGAAATCTTCAGGGAGAGCAAAGACATCCCGAGGCGGTTCCCACTCGAGTCTCACCTGTGCAGTCTGAGCCTCAGGCCTGCTGAAAACAGCCACTGAAACGGGCCTGGCCAGAGCCCTGGAGCAGCATCGGAACTGCAGCAAACACAGAAGGAGCACAGTCAGAATTCTGGGATCTCCTGAGCTGGCAGGGACACACCAGGACCATCCAGCCCAACTCCTGGCCCTGCACAGACACCCCAACAATCCCACCCTGTCCCTCAGAGTTGTCCAAATGCTCCCTGAGCTCTGGCAGCCTTGGGGCCGTGCCCACTGCCCTGGGGGGCCTGGTCAGTGCCCAACCAGCCTCTGGGGGAAGAACTTTCCCAAAATCCAGCCCAACCCTCCCTGACACAGCTCCAGCCGTTCCCTGGCTCCTGTCACTGGTCACACAGAGCAGAGATCACTGCTCCCATAACTTGATGTATCTGCACTAACCCTCAGAAGAATGCTTTATGAAGAAAAGTATGAAGATTTTCTGAAAACATCAACTGTGACACAAGACTCAAATATAAAGGCATATGATATTCCCATTTCAGCCAGTTGGATTAAGCAATTCCACACACCACAGGCTGCAGCACAGTGTCACATCTGCCACAGCAATTTAATTACTGTCACATTTCCACACCTTTCCTTTCTAATACATCCCTTTAAGGAGAGGGGTGATCGAGTATCTCTGTGGAAATCAGTTTAGTTTATCTTGGGAGAAGGCCCTGGCAGCTCACTCCCATCTATTTACATGGTGTCACCAGAGGTCACCTTGTTTCCCTTCCTCCTTAAATCCAGAACAGACCCACATGATCCCACCTCAGCTGAGGGTGTCCAGGGTAGCACTTTGGAGAAATCCCTGCCCATCCTGTATCCCCACTGAGAATTATCATCCC